CACTTCAAGAACCGTTTTTCCCTTAGTACAGCTGGAACTACTAAATTCTTGAGCACCTCGCATGCGCGCGAGCCATCAATCACTGTCAGGAACACTAGGAGATTCTTAGGTTCCGCAACGTAGTTTGCTGTTACAAAGTACTGGAGCGTTTTCCGGTACGAATCGAAGTTTTGCGTTTTCTCGTCGAATTCGTCTATCTATTCGAGCCGTGAGATGACAGATTCAATAGAAAGTTGCACTTATCGATTTGTAGTCCTCCCTGCTGCGACGCTGGTTCCTGCTGACATGTTCCGTGAAGGCAGCGTCGTCGGCAGAAGCGTTCGTGGAACTTCGTTGTGCATCGTTTCGATGCCGTACTTGATTTTAGGTGTCCATCTGGGTTTCAGCTCCGCTATGGCTTTGGTAATCCCATCCTCGTCGCCAGTGTGATAACTTGCAGATTGGAAGCCAACGATCAACGAACTTTATTGAATACCAACGCTCTTATTTAGCAACTGTTGTCATTGCAGGTCGCTGCGTAACTGCAGGCCATTTGTGTAACAATACACTTTAATTCTACGCTGTCACACAGTCCATGGTAAAATCGCCAATGTGCCCGTGCACGTGGTCACAAAAAAAGCGAGTAGCGCAGCTCAAACGTTCACAAAGCGACGCCCTTTGCTATAACGATACACGATTTCCTCCTTCGACTGCTGCGCGCGCATCACTGTGCTGTCCCTTCTTTTTAGGCTACAAAATCAGTCCCGAAACTTTTTGATCACAACTCGTATGTTACGATAAAAAAAGTTTGTAAATATAACTTAAGCAAAAGTTACGAACATTTCGATATTCTCGAAACAAAATGTTGTTAACTTTTGTGTGATATAAAATAAAACCCTACAACTGGGGACCCCTTCCTTTTACGAATATTTTAGCGAGTATTCGTTAAAAACCTCTGCCTACGTTCCGCTCGTGCTTGAGGGGTAGCGTGACGTCAGAAGAAGCTTGAGGCAACCGCGTGTGCTCAAAACTCGTCGGACACTGGAGACGATTGCGATTACCACCGTCAGCGATACTACCGGTCGCCGAGACCTACAGTACGGAAGCTCTACAATATACTGCATCAACGCGTAGCCGCCCGACAGCTCGGTCGTGTGCGCTGCCCGTGTGCGCCAAGTGCTGATGACCTCGCCCGAAAGCGAAATTCAGACTCCTGTGACGCCTTGGCGGTGCTCGTCTACGGCCTAGGCCTAGTAAGGCATTGGACTTGCCCTACCTGGCCAGGACTCTCTGCCCCCGACCACAGAAATGAAGCCCGCGGACCTTTCCCGCATGAGTAGCCTAAACCCTGACCTCGATTTTAGTATTGGCACTCTTGTCGCCTCGTCTTCCTAGTCGAGCGGTGGTGTCGGACACTCACTCCGCATTGACAGTCCCGCCGGTTCGATGTGCTGTTTTACAGCAAAGCTGTTTAGGGCTAGGGTTTTGTGGATTTTTCGTGTGCGTCAGCAAAAACTTCATTTCCCCGCTAATATTAGCGAAAAAATTGCCTCGCCCAATTTAGCGTGAAAATTTTCCCGCCAAATGAATCGGAAAATTTTCCGCTCCAAATTTAGCAGAAAAATTTCTCCGCTTTTGCGGAACAAATTTCTCAGGTAATTTATCAGGGAAATTAGCAGGAAGGAGGAGGGAAGCGCACCGCCCTCTCTGTCGTCGTTCCAAGCGCTTGCTTGCCTAGTTTCCTTTCCTTCCGCCGGGTGGCGGTCCCGTCGCGCATGTCTATACTCCATTTTGCCATAGGATGCACTGGCTACAATCGCGAGCCCCTTGGTCTAGGGCACATCTCGGCGGCACAAGCTCTCGTGCATCAGGGCAGCTGCCAACGCTATGAGCTCGGGCTTCCAGCCTTCGCTGCGGTTCAACCTAAGGTGAAATGGAGTACAGTTTCGTCCGGCTTTTCGAGGCGGCGAGAGTCCTCGACATGTGTGCGCGTACCTTTCGTCACGATGATCACCGATCAAGGCAATAAACGTGTTCGCACCTGTGTTCAAAATTCTGTGTCACGTCGGTGTCGTGTGCTAAAGATCTTGGCTGGTCATCCATCTTCCCAAAGTGGTATGGCTCATGATTTTGTTTGACCTAGAGGTCAAATAAAGGCCGTCAGAATTCTGTTCGCATCATTTGGGAAATACACTTTATTATTTGGGTATGTTACTTCTGTCCCGATGCGACGACACTAGCAGAGACATCAACACGGGTCCATAGGGAGCAAAACCTTAGGAGCCACACGATGTGGGTCTAATGCTTCCCCCGCTGGACGTCACGCCGACATCGGGTTGTTATTTAATAGTGTCCTCGCAGTCCCAAAGTCAGTTGCTAGAGACACTGAATGTCAGCAGAGTTTCAAAATGTGGTTAATATACCCGTGTAGTCGACGCAAGCATAGCGGTCGTGACGATACAGTTAGCAATGTAGTAGCGGTGTGGCGGGTGAAGCATTCGTGCTCGCGCGTGCTCTGTCAATACCTCCCAGGATCCAAGTCCTGCGCCTGTCAAAGGAGGCAAAATAAATGTTCGTAGGACATGCTGGTGTCCCAACCTTCAACTTATGATCGGCACGAGTTGGCAGGTATATGGTGCGCCAAGAAACAATTGGTCTTCGAGAGTCGGGATAGAATTATAAATGCGATGTAAGAGAGAGAGAGAGAGAGACGAAGATACTTGCAACGTAAAGCGAGGTCGTGCAAGTCCAGGGTTGATCTCATTGATGAAACGACAGTAGTACGAAAATAATTGGATATGATGAAACGGGTGGCGCGGTTTTGAATGGATCTAAAAAAAATGGCAGACGTTTACAATTCTTTGTAACGCCGAATTAGAGCGAAGCTCTTGAGGAGGAGGAGAGGAGGGTACAGAGGGGAGGGTATGCCCCTCCTCCCCCTCTGTCCCTTCCCGTCCTCCTCTCCTGCTCCGGGACATTTCAGCTAAACGTCCCGATAAATTTAGCTAAAATTTCCCTGTTAAGTTTAACGGGAAAATTGCATTATTCTCATAGTGCGACGGCGACGGCGCGAAACCCTGAAATGGGTGCCTAAGAGCTGCGCTCTACAGCGTTTGTTAAGGTCTGTTCACACGACGCATCTTTTAGGCGCGCAACAGTTTCGCGACACTCAAGTTTCTCGAAATGTGCTCGTTCACACGTACCGCTTTACGTGCAACAACAACAGACACCGATGCACCGTTTTGAGTGAGCTCCGAATCAGATCGCTATTTATCTGGGCACCTGCTTTGCGCATTTTATGCAGTCAATTCACTTTAATCTCACATATTGCACTACTTGGAGCGATCTCGCGTGTGCGCTAAGCCGATTGAGGCGGCAACCTGTACGTGCAGGACATGTGCCGGCGCCGAGCCCGTACGCAGCCAATTCATTGCCAAAGCTCCTATCAATGCACATGGTATTCATAGAAACGCTACGTGCCCAATCTGGTTACTTATCGGCGCCCATGTCTGCCCCGAGTCTACTGTGCCAGCTGTTTCAGAGAGCGCACATGGTATCACGTTCGCTTGTAAACAAAGCAAACTTGGTTTCAGTTTACTCGGTGGTCTCTTATCCAGCGGTATCGTCGCGACAACAACGCTATGAGCACTATTCTAATCTCGCCAACTCCCGCTAATTGTCTTCGTCCATCGCTGGATTTTTTTTCCGATATGCTACTTACTTTTCCTTCAGTGGTGCTTGACGTGCTTGCGGAAGCGCCGGCAGTATCCATCGTTCGTGGTTTCGGTTTTTTTTTTCTGATTTGGCTCCGCTACAACACCGGCAGTGAAGTGGTCTTCTCAAACAGCTCGCTCCCCCCTCAAAGGCCACGTGAGAGCGTTTCTGAGCGGCCATTGGCGGCGCTCTCAGAGTGACTGACAGGACTCGGCAAAGTTTCAGCAAAAGCTCGCTCCAGAAGCGAGGTGTGCGCGCAACTTTTTTTTAGATGCGCGCGTCCTTTTCGGACTCGTTCAGACGGCGCAACCATTTCGCGACACTAGATGCGCGAGAAAAATGCATCGTGTGAACGGGCCATTAGTGTTACATACCCAGGATCCCAAAATAAACGCGCGTACTCAAGTTTAGGCCTTATTAGAGCTTTATATAATATGTAATTTACCAGGTATACAGTAGTACAAATAAAATGACCGCGTAGATGTCCCAACACGCGGGATAAAACGTTTCCTTTGATTGTGTGACCGCCTGTTTTATACTCAGTATCAGCAGTTTCATTAGTGTACCTACTCTCAGCACTTTTCAATATCTCCGAGCGCGCCGAGGTAACCTTTTCCTTTAAATGCGACAGCATTTGAAGGAAAAGGAGAGGATGGGAAAGGTCTAAAGGGCCGAGATGAGCGGCCTTCGATAACGAAACTGCGAGTCGCATCCCAGCGGCAAATGTGACCGCGGTAGAGATGGCCTCGTCGCGACAGCAATTTGCAATACAGATTTGCGCCTCCCTCACCCCTGCAGAAAATGCACTAAAAGAAGTTTCGAAGATTTAGCATGGAGGGCGACGATCCCCAAAAACATACTGGTTGCAACAGCAAACGCTTGTCGGCTAAGGTGAATACGAGACTGCTCTTGCCGAGACGACGCGTGGTCGTGTCGACGTGAGCCAAGGACGTTGACGTGAGCGGATTCCTTATATTTAAACAAATATAGTGTTATTGAGGGCAAAAGCTTGGTTTCATTATTTAGTCATAGCATTTCGCATGCACACTAAAAGCTGTGACTACTGCTGGGCGTCTTGATGCCGTTAAAATGCACAAGGTTTTTTTTCTTCTTTTTTTTTTTTTTTTTTTTAAGAGGGATAACCATTTGAAACCATTTAGATAACCATTTGAAAGCTCTTGTCTGCGACAGTGTTAGCGTAGAAGTTTTTCGTTTTTTTGCACGCGTTATCAAACGTGTGCTGAAATTTAGTGCGCTATTCTAGAACTTTCTATGCATGTACATTGACGCCAAAACACTTGTTCCAGCTTTGCAGGTGTGGATGATTGGATCGACGGATGAAACTAAGATAAACGAAACTTGCCATTCTACTTACAACAAAAACGTGAATAAGGCTGATGACTCTACGGAGACACCAAAATATTATATCTACAATGAAACAATATGCGGTAAAAAATAGCAACGCTACCTTTATATATATATAGGTACTTACGAAGCAGCAATGAATTTAGAACTATATAAGAACTGTCAACGAATTTTCAACCTTCAATGGAAGCTTTACTGAAACAAGTCACCATGTATAATTCAGCATATTGGGATTTGCGTCGTGGTTTTGGACTCTACGAATTAAATAAAACGACATATTACTTTCTCCAGAAGCTTTTCATCTGGTTTCGCGAGAAAAAATAATAAAGAAGGAGAATTTCTATATCACACAGCTCCTTCATATTCCGAGGGGCTTCATTTTGATAAAGGTTGCATCAGCACAAGGTAACTATAACAATTTTTTTTTTTTTTAATTTCTAGTTTGTAAGCAGTATCGCCCGCTTCAAGAAGCCAGCCGCCATCTTGAACTTTCGCAAGCCCCCTCGGTAACACTTTGGTTGCGTTTCTGAACAGATCGTAGGACTTATTAGCCAAGTACATGGTTTGTATTCAAACAACATACGAGAACATTCGAGTACATAGCGTACATACTCCAGAAAAAAAGTTACGTTACGTTTAATGGAAAAATATCGTATAAACGTTCTCTTTTGTTTTCAAGAGGGTTGGTGGTTCTGCGCAAACTTGTTTTAGCATACAAAAACAAAGCTACATTTTCTTATATCCCTATACAGATTAACCCTTTTTTTTCATGTTTTTGCTAAATAAATGGACCGCTTAATACGACGCTGTCCCAAATTACATCAGAATTCGTTAAGAAACCGATTTAAGTGTTCCCTTCAAAAGGCGCGCCATTGGGGTGATTCTATATCACAATTAAGATTCTTTGCTCGCGATCCACCAAGGAGCCAAAAGCATTCGACATGTCAACGAATACAAGCTGCCCGAGTGCCATCAGGTCTCCAAGCAAACAGCGTCTCACAGCCGCCATATAGCTTCACGTCCAGAAACGTCAACTTTAGATATAGGCATGTTTCTGTCATGCAGGGCGGCACGAGTGCTTCCACAAGACCAGTGTTGTACACGTTCCTCAAAAAAGGAACGAAAGATCGTCCGTCGTTCCTTCTGATTTTTGGAACGCGTTCCCATTACCAGTTCTATATTTAAAAAAAAGAGATTCGTTCCTGTTGCAGTTAAAAAAATGGAACGTGTCGTTACATATACATTACATTAGTATTTTGCTGATTACCACATTTAGTTATATCTAGGAAAGTTTTCTTTCTATCTATCCCATCAAATGAGAGCATACGAAATTGAATTCCGTGACGCACCAGGAGAAAACAACAAGCGGAAGCAGTGTTTCATTTGTTGATATATTATTTAAAAATCTCAGCTTTTACCCATATTCATGTTTGTGGCGGGTGATTCAGACAAGCCAAATGTATACTGTTGCCCCACATTGCACGAGCGTTCTACAACAACCTCACATGTTTCAATCTAACAAAGTCCCGTGTTCGAACTTAACAACAGTTGCTTCTCACGTCTTCTGTCCGCAAGACGAGCAAGTGAAGAAGAGGGTGGGGCTTTTGGAAGGTCAGTCTTGAAACCTACAAGTCCTTCTTCGTGAAGGTTGGATTCGTTGTTTAGTTTGAAGGTGGGGACAAGGGGAGAAGGAATAAAGGTTAATTTATGCGTATCTTTTAAGTGACCAATGTTCGAGATACAAAGGTGCGTTCGATATTTTATAACCTGTCCTTTTGTTGTAACTGTAGGCCTTTTTGTGGAAGTTCAGTGATGGCTGTAGTCGGCCTTAGATTTATGGGTGTATGAGGATTCGTCGAAGCAAAGAAAGTAGTTGAGTCTGAAACGTCCCTCTTTCTGTGTCTTTTCCTTCGACTAAAAGTTTTGCTGTTTGTACCGTAGTGTCGGGTACTGAAAAAAGGATCGATGTTCACTAGCTCTCCTGCGCCCGACTGTTACCGAGCGAGGACCACGCAGAATAATCCTTAACATAAGTAACCAAAAAGTTACCGAGATCCTGCTCTTCGTAAAAATATTGTTTTTATACTTTTTGGAGTTTCCCCCTTAAACAAATTAATATAAATTATTCCACTGAAAAAAGTAAAAAAGGAACGCCGTTCCATTTTCTGATTCAGTAAAACTTTAACGCGTTCCCGTTCCAGTTCCACCGATGCAAAATGAAACGGCGGCGTTCCTTCGTTTTTCCTAGAAGGAACGCGACCCAGGAACGCCGTTCCGTACAACACTGCACAAGACCCACAATACTTGATCGTGTAATGCTGGCATCAAGCGGCGCTTTAGCTTTGATTATGCACTCTACATTCGTATGTAAGCGTCTGTTTACGTCGCTGTTCTCTATGTCTATTTGCTGGATCGCGTTCGCCCGCTCCGTGAATACGGCCACTGGCCGTATTCGCGGAGCGGGCAAACGCGGCCAGAAAGATGAGCAAAGCAAAGCAAAGCGGCCATCTTTTTGGTAGAGTTATATTACCTCTGGCCAACGTTACTAGAACACTCAGTTGGGAAACTCGCCGTCGAAACCTGGGCCACTGGCGTCCACCGAGACCGAGCTAAATACGACAGCAGCGCCACTCTTTGTCATTTGACTGTACTGTGGTCACTTTGAGCTTTTACATAGCATATGTTTGCGTAAAAACAAAGGGAAAAGACTCTTTTTGTATGAAATGTATTGGAGTTTAGTACAAAATGATTGGCGCGTGATGCTTTTAAAAATTTTAGTTTGCAGGGTTTTGCGGCACAGTTAATATTGTTTTTAAAAAACCATGCCTCAGCGGTACTTTCAGGTAGCGCGTCCCGACCTAGGTGCATTTTAACTTCGGTAGTGTGACGCGGCGCGTCCGCTGCGGAGGCGGGGGTGGCACCCCTGTAACCTCTTCCGCTGTATTTGTTTCGGCGCCAGAATGCCGATTAAAGCCAAAATAGAAGTAACGTGTAGTTCCTCGAGTGGCCGCTGCGGGAGAAATGGCGGCGTTGTGTTCGCCATTAGCTCGGTTCTGGTGGACAGATTGGAACCACTTCTTCAGAGCAGTCTCTATGGCAGTTACCCAACTGAGTGGTTCTAGTAACGTTGCCTCTGGCCAATGTACAGCTGGTGCAGCCACTATCGTCCATCCATGGCAGACAGCGTTGTGGCAGCTGTGGTGGCAGGCTGACATAGAAATAACCGTGGGTGATATTTCGTTCTTGATTGAAATTGTTCGACGAAACATATTGTTGAAACCCGGCGTGAACGGTAGCTCGAACTTTGAGGACCCGGTGAAAGTGTCACGAAATCGCAGCACCGGAGAAAAGCAGCACAGCACGCATCGAAAGTCGCATCGAAAGAAGCATCGAAAGCAGACGCCGTACCGGTGTCTGCTTTCGATGCGAGCTGCGCTGCTTTCCCCCGGTGCTGCGCTTTCGTAGAATTTTCAAAGATGGGGCTACCGTTCACGCCGGGTTTCAAGAATCTGCTTCGTCGAACAACTTCAATCAAGCACGAAATATCACCCACGGTACAGTGTACTAACCCCACGGCTATTTTTATGGCAGTGTACCGCCATACTGCTGTCCGCCATATTACTATGATGGCCCCAGAGATAATATAACTCTACAAAAAAAAATGGCCGACCGTGGCCGCATTCCCGTCCATAGGCGGAGCTGGTCAAACGCGATCCAGCAAATAGACATTGAGATCAGTGGTTTACGTGCACTAGCAGGGCGTTTGAAATAACAAAAATAAATTTAAAATTAACAAAATACAGTTGCCGGTAGATTCCATGAAAAGGCAGAAACTAATTTCTTCAGTTTCTTTGGCTGTATTCACTTTCATATTTATAATGATAATGTAGCCGCCCGTGATAGCGTTCATGAGCAATGTGATTGAACTTGACGATGCAAAACTAAAACGATACCCAAATAGTCTATATAGTGCACGCCAGAGCAGCGCTGTTCAAAACTTTAGGGCCGCAAGCAATATTTTTGGTAACAGAAAGGTAGCAAATTAGCACAAATAAAAAACGGCGTTTTGCGTTGCAACAAGTACGCATTGTCGCAAAGCGTCATGTATACTTTGAAAAATGATGAAGAATTGATAACCTTTACCTTAAAAAAACACTGCAAAACTTATCTGCAATTTTCTCTTTTTTTTTTTTTTGCTGCAGAGATGGTTGGTTGACTTCCATTTGTGCTGATGTCATCTTTCTCTACTATTTTGTTGCGCGTGGCCGGATTGTCTGCCGTATTCGTGCAGGCTTAAATAAAAAAAAAAGAATGTGCGTCGTTGTGTTTTGTTACGGCGTGGGGGACAACCTGGATTTATTTTCTTGGATTTGTCTTTTCATACAGTGTATTTTACTGCTTGTGTATTTTTTTATTTTTTTATTTGTCCTGATCAAGTAGTTTTCCTTTCTCTGTGAGACATTCATTTTGTCTCGGCATGCGGATTGTCTGGCAGGGACGGACCGGGGGGGGGGGGGGGGGGGGGGGAGGGGGGGGGCATTGTTGTTTTGTCAGGAATGTCAACGCCTTTTGTGACGTACCCCAGACAACTGTATTCCTCGACGGTTGTCTCAATAAACTTTGAACTTTGCTTACATATGCTAGCCACGGTTTTCATTTGTACATGACAGAATTTGCGACTTAAAATTCTGTTTTTTTTTCTACCGAAATTTACCGATCGAGAACTGGCCAGTTTGAGTCGAGTTCACTATTTTCTCCGTGGTCACGTGGCGGTCAGACTCAACCGCCAAATATATTTGAAGTACATCAAAGTCTCACACTCAATTTTAAAAATAGGACAAAAAAATATGAGACCCATTTTTTGTGGCTTCTAAAAACTGAAAATACGTGTATTGAAGTTAAAAAATGCAGAGTGCCGAAGGCACATGCATTGCGTTATTCTCCACAGGATGTCGTATCACGAGATCGTGAGAGCGGGAGTCGAGGGCTGGACGGCTAAACGAAGTGGACGAAGCGATGGCGCGGACGAGGCGCCATCTCTTCAGAACCGCCGTTCGCTGTACCGGCGAATCTGTCTACCTTCGAAAGAAAAAA